CCTTCAATTCAACCAATAAATTAATTGCATTAGACCCACTTATTATAAATTGATTATCTATCTTAGTGAGATGAACTAAGAATTTCAAAAATTCTTTTGAGATATTTTTTAAATGAGATATAATCTTGTTTCAGCATAAATTTCGGCGGAATAATTAACAGAATTAATATCATGTTCTTTTATGGTTTTGATTAAATGAGTAATTGAATTAATAGTCTTTTTAAAAGTATCAAAATATTTCATTTTCCAAAAGCGATATATTTTCATTATAATTCTAGGAATAGTTTTACTTGAGATTTTTTAGAAACTCTAAGCAATCCAAATTTTGATTCTCCTCTTTTGACAATAATTCAATTATAATATTCATGATTTATGTATCAAAATTATTTGATTGAACTAAAACCTCATATAAATCAGCTACAATCAAGAACACTTATATTGATTTATGGGTAAATTAAAAATTAGCACCGTTTTATTAGACAAGCGAGCAACTTCTAATATATTTTTATAAGCTCCGTTTTAATCATCATAATTAAAAAATTCATTTAGTGATTGATCTTCTTTTCTTTCATTTTAATATAAAAATCCTTGCTACTTATATTAAACTTATGTCAGTTCATTCTTACTCATTATTTTTGCAAATCTAATTGAGTATTCTAATAGATCATGCATATCTAATTTGGTAGCAACAGTTTAGTTTCAAATATTGTTTAAAGATATGTCTGCATTCCCTCGGATTCTTAAGAATTTTACATTGATTAAGGGATAGAATTTTCTTCCAAAATATATAAATCGTTTTGGGTAACTTCCAAGAATTCATCTTAATCAACTTAAATTTCTGTTTCAGATTCTTTATTAATTTCATTTATTGACTACTCAAAATGCCTTTTCTATTGTGATTTATACATTTGAATTCTGTATTTACTTATTAAGAATTCTTTAAATATCTTTTAAAAATTCTTCAAGAAGGTTTATTTAATGTTAATAATTTCAGTTGCTTTAAGAATTATGTTGGGCAACACTTACACTATAATTTCCATCATAAATGGAGTTTCCACTAATTTATTTAGATTTACCAAGGTCATCATATCTTCATACTTTTTAAAACTCCATAATTTTGTAAATTTATGCTCAAGCTTCTACTAGCTTCATTACAATTTAAAGCAATTAACTCATCATCCTTCAAAAATTATAAAATACTGATTATTTATTTTTCATTCAAAAGAGTCTCAGATTTCCACCCTGTTCATCAAATTTCTATAATGATGAATACACCTTTCCCATCTCTGTTCAAACTTTTTAAAATCCAGAGCTTTTTGGTTTTAAGTTTATACTTACCATTCATGCATATCATAAATTAACATTTTAATACTTTAAATCGTAAATATCTTAAGATATTGATATTCTTATTTTTAATTCTATTCAAACTGAAGATGCTAGATTACTTTAAATCTCTAATTATCTTCAGGCGCAAACCAGTCGGCATAATTACTACGAGGAAATGTCACTTCTAGTGGTAAAAATAACAAGAGGGTCTGACCAATTTTATTTGAGCTTATTATTAATGTATAAATTTTTCTAAATATTCTCTAGCTTCATTTCATTATAACTGTCCATTATAAATATGAATCGGAATTCTTTCTTTTACAATATCTCTTTACATTCTTTCAATTAAAGATCATCAAACCCATAATCATCTTACTTAAGTGATTCCTCTAATGCTTAAAAAACAGTTTTTTAAAGAGTGTAATGAAATATAAACAGGTATTAGTACATAATTCCCAATTTTTTTATTGCTATCATGTAATTTCCAAATAAACTCTTGAATTTTTTTGGCTGTAGTACTTTTGCCTGATTCAGCTAATCCATGAATTAGCAATACTGTTTTCCCTTCATATAAAAACTCATTCACTTTTCCATCTTTATCATCAAATTAATCTAAATTCATCAAATTACTGATCTCATTTTTACCTTACTCTTAAGTTTTTAATGGTATAGATGGTCTTAACATTTTTTTCTGCTGCTTCCTTCAACACTCTCCATTTTCTAATTTCAAGCAATTATAAAACTGATTTTCCTCTAATATGATTAACAAAATCAGTTTTCAATTTAAGTTATTATCCCATTTCACTGATATTTTGAATATATTCATCTAATTGCTGAGTTGTTTCATCCATTCCTTTTAATTATAGCTCTCTTTTGTTAAGATTTGCCTCCTGGGTAATTTATTCTAACAATTCATCAATTCTCTTCAGCATTTTTTACATCTCTCCTGCTATTCTATCATGTTAAGTCTACCAATCTTTTGACAAAACTTATATCTATAAACTTATTATGTGTTAATTTTTCAATAAATTTCTAACTCTTTAATCTTTTTCTAAAACCCATAATTAAATGAGAGTTTTTTAACAAAATCGAGTAATTGTTTCTGTGAAGCTATTCAACAAAGTCTAAATTATAGTTAATCCTAAACCCTATTTAATTTTCCAAACATCATTTTGTTATTAATGAATAGAGAAGTATTTCTATTGATTTGATTTGACTTGATATTCTTCCTCGTTTACTTGTAGGTATATTTTTGTAGTTAATTGACCTAAATATTCTTAATTAACTTAAATTTCCTAGAATTCCCAATTATATATTTGTAACTTTTCTTTTGTTTCAGCCAATAACTTATAGAGAAAATCAACAATATTTGTTGGTTAACTTTTATTTTTTTCTTTTTAATTTTCACTATTCAATATATTGATTTATATTCTTGAAAAGAATTCTTAATTTGATTCTTTTTCCTATTATTCTAAATTAGTAGTTGTGCACATCGATTCCTTAAAGTTGTCTATATGTTTTGAAAAACAACTTTAAAAACTTGTATACAATAATAGGTAAAATTTTTGGGAAACATCTAAGCTTTTATAAAATCTTTTACATTTTCAACTAATTAGGCCAATTTTAGCTTCTCTTATCTTATTTTATTAATAATAATTATAGAATATTAATAATGATCGATAAATTTGTTCTAATTTTATTTTGGACATTATTCTCATCTAACCTAATTTGATTTTTTAATTAATTGAGTTACTCATCTCTATTGTTCTAATCATCATATTTTGTTTTAAATTCATGAAATTTTTCTTTTAAATCTTTCACTGTTTCAATTATAGGCATTTGAAAAAATTATTGATCTTCAATAATTTAGATCTGGCTGATTAGTAATTTAAGTTATTCTACCACTTCACAATTATCATAGTATTTAATTTTTTTTAATTCTTACAACAACTTCTCATACTTTTCTCTCTCAAAATTCAGTTAACTTTGATTAAGATTTTCATTCTCGATAATTGTTAATGAAATATCTATTGAAAAACCTTTTAGAATTTTCATAATTCTTTCAGTAAGAGTTAAAGGATCAGTTTCTTCTATTACTAATTCTCCAAATTCCTTTTAAATTAATTCTAAATCTATTCTTTCAGAGTCAATCATTTATTCTTCTAGAGTTAATTTAAATAATATATACTCTAAAATTCCTTTTTATATTGCTAAATTATTTGAATAGTCTTGTTCAGTAATTTATAAGCAACTGAATTCTTCAATAGTTTATTTATAAATGAACTGTCACAACAAATTATTCGTTTTGGATAATTCTTAACTACATCAAGAAGAAACTCATCCAAATTGATAAAATTTTGTGATAATTAACATTCTTCTAATGGCAGTTTTAATATATATAAAAAACATTCCCTGAAAGTTATTAATTGTAATTTAAGTTTTAAAATGTTCAATCCTTATTTGTGTAAAAATTATAATGAAAGCTTGCAAGTATATTGTTATTTAATTTCTGTTAATTTATCAGGTAGAGAAAAGGACTCTATTTCATATTTTAACATTAGAATTGTCTTAAAACTTAATAGTAATTCATCAAAGGATTTTTGAAGTTTTTAGATCTGGTATTCATAATAAAAATTTAGGTTATCCAAACAAGTTTAAAAGTATCGAATTAAGTTATCCTATTTAAGTAACAAAATTTCTAGTTCTGGGATTTATTTTTCAGTTTATTCAATAAGTTTTAACATGCATTGAGCTTCTTTCAAAAAAAATTTCTTGTTTAGAGTTGCATTAGGCAAGTTAAGTAGCTTTTACTTAAACTTATGGGCAAAAGAAAATTATTTATCTGTTAGATTTAAATTTAATAATTCCTTCTAAATCAACTCTATCTCTTACTAAAGTATTATGCTTTTATCTGGTTCATTTCTCTAATCATTAATATCTTAAATTGTTTATGATAATATTAATTCTAATAGTCTCATAAAATATTTAAGCTAGTAAAGGATTGTGAATTCATTCATCTTTTTCTATTCAAGTTATTCCATTTAAAAATGTTATTCGCTTAAACTAAGCTTAATAATTTTAATGATTAGATGAGTATTTTAGAAATACTCTTCGAAATTGATAATCATTTGTTTTATCTGTGAATTATATGTGGCTTATTCTATTGTGAAATTATAATATTTATGTTTTTTGATAAAATTTTTATAATTCTTTCTATGACTCCCAAACTCTCATAATTTTTCTAAATTAAAGCTAGTAATTTATTAGAAATAATGAAATCAAAAAATTGTTAAATTTTCCAAACTGTCTAAATATATTAGTTTTCTTAGTTTTCTATACTAATTCTAATTGTAAATAAGAACCAAATGTGAAATAAAGTTCTTTAGCAGTATGAGGTTTTCCCATTCTTTAAAAGTGTCTTCTACTATTAGTTTATCAACTTAGGTTAATTCTTTATTGTTAAATTCATTTAGTTAAATTAAAGCTTAGTCATTGCTATGATTCATTTAAATTAGAACCCCTTTTTTCAGATATTCCTTCCATTTTTCTTCAAGATTAAAAGAGCTATTCAGCTTAAAATTTTTTTTTGTTATAAGAAGACTATATATTAAGATTTTTCCAATCATTGAGATCCACAAAAAATGATTTTTCCAATTCTTTGAATTTTTCACAAGCTTTTCATGTGTTTTCTCGATTTGGAGGATTATTTCTTCCAAATTCTGTTCGCCTTCATTTTTTAAATTATTTATGATCTCCCATTACAACATATCTATTGTAAAATATACTTCATATTATTCTCTATTTTTTTAAATAACATACTTGTTGTAAAGTAGGCAGGCTCCATGAAACAATTATATAAACAAATCCATATTAGGTTTCATATCAATTATTGAATTAATGATACCATTTAAATAACCTGATAAAATATCATCCCTTTCTTTACCATCGTTTTGGGCTATCTAAAAAGAAGTTTTTGTTAGGAAAAGGTAAAGTTCCAATTAATTCTAAATTAAATCATTATTCTCTATTTCAAACTATTATCTTAATTCATCGCAAATATCCACAAATTGCTTTTATGTATCACAGTTTATAAATCTCTAATCATTTCTTATATGGAAGCTAAATATCACCTTAGATAGAGAAGCTGTAGTTCTTAAGATGAATAAACATTTAAATGAATCTGTTCTGATATAGAACCAACAACTTTTCAATAATTTTAGGATTCCATCTAAAATTAAGTTGTATGATTTCAAGACTTTTGAAGCATTCTTGATGAGTTTGTAAATGTTTTCCTCTAAAAAAATAAACCATTATATGGCTATCATGATTTCTTAAGCTTCTGATTAATTAGCAGCAACTGCTGCTTTAGTGTATACAGTTTAGACAAAATAATCAAATCTAGTTATGAAATTTTCTATGTCATAAATATCAACTTCTAGACTACATCTGTGTTGGGAATTATTTTAATAGATCCACAACCACCTCCACGTAATGGGGATGTTAATTTATTCAATTGACCTGATATTTTTTATAAAAATTTAAATAATATATCTACACCGGTATAAAAATGTTTATAAACTTGAAATGAATTCAAATATATTTTTTAATAATTAATATAAAATATTTTTAAATAAATTTTTACAATTTTTTTA